CCACCCCCACCCTTGTAGACCCTTGGAGTTTTTTAAACAAAATTTCTTCATGCAATCCTGTTGAGAAATTTTTGTGATGGGAAAATTTTGGTGGGCATCAATGGAAAAAGAAGTAGAGTGCTTGGTGGCACCTTTTTGTCTCATGTTCCTTGACAATCATCAACCATCTAATCCCATCAATCCTCATGTTATCTTGCTAGCAGATAACATTACAAGCAACTATACATTAATCTTGAAAAATCGAGAATGGTAGGAGTGGGGAAGGAGTGTGAGATGGACTATTTTGCTGGGTTGATGGGATGCTGGAAAGCGACTTTCCCTTTAAAATATTTGTGAGTCCCTCTGGGTGCTAGAGTTAAGGATAGCACTTTGTGGGATCCGGTGATTGAGTTGTATGATAAAAGATTTGCCAATTGGAAGAGGAATTTTCTTTCTAAGGAGGGTCAACTTACTCTTGTAAAATGTACTTTATCCAATATCCCCATATATTATTTTACAGCTCTGCCATTACCAGTGAAGGTGGCAAGGAAGATAGAGAGGATACAATGCCATTTTCTATGGGGTGATGATGATGAGAGGAGAAGATACCATCTCGTGAATTGGAAAGAGGTGAAGAAACCGAATCGGGCTGGGGGTTTGGGAATTAGACCTTTGGTTGAGATGAATAAAGCTTTACATGGGAAATGGTTGTGGCGTTACATGAATGAGGAAGGTGGGCTGTGGAAGGGAATTGTGGAAGTGAGATGGGGCAGATGGGAGGGTGGAGGGGCTGGAATGTGGCCGGTGAAAACAAGGGAGTGGGCTTTAGAGGAGTATTTGTGTGGGAGGGGAGAAATGGAAGCTGGGCAGGGGCAATAAAACCAATTTTTGGGAAGATGTGTGGCAGATGGGGAGGGTCTTGAGGAGAGTTTTGCTCGGTTTTATTCTTTAGCACAGAATAAGAATATGACAGTTGAGGAGGCTTTGGGTGATGTGGGTAGAGGAAGTGGGTGGGAGGCGGCAGTTACTAGGAATCCTAACGATTGGGAAATTGAGGAATATGAGAATCTTCTGTTATTTCTATCAAATATATGTGTACTTAGAGAGGATGACAAGCTGATTTGGAAACCCTAAAAGAGTGGTGTGTTCTCGGTCAAATCATATTATGAAATTCTGTTGGGGTTAGATGCTGACAATTCACCCCATTTTCTGGGTAAACAAATATGGAAGAGTTGTGCTCCACCTAAGATTGCTTTCTTTGCATGGGAAGCCAGTAGCAGTGCCATTTTAACAATTGATTGCCTGATGAAAAGAGGTCATGTGATGGTTAACTGTTGCTATATGTGTAAAAGACAAACCAAGTCATGGAATCATCTATTACTGCATTGCCCGGATATTCAACATATTTGGTCTATGATATACAGGTTAAAGGGGAGATTTGGGCGTGGAAGGGGATGGGGAGGAAGGGTCAATTCTTTAGTCTAATTCCGCTAACTATTTTTTGGATTATTTGGAAAGAAAGAAATAGAAGAGCTTTTGATGGAGTAGAAAGTGATATGGGTAGAATTAGAGATACATAGTTTCATTTGTCTGGGGCTCTATTGTTGGGGCATGTTATGTAAAGGGTGGAAGATTTTGGGTACATGATTGATTGCCTAACACACATGTACTTCTTTTGCTTATGGGTTGCACCCCATTGGTGCTTTGTTAATAGTTTTACATTTTTTATTTCAAAAAAAAAAAAACATTACAGGCAACTATAACTTTGTGGGCATTTCTGCTTTCTTCTTAATTTTACTTGAATTTTGAGAATTGAGGAGATCAACATGCTTCAATATAGTTATTTGATATCTTCTGCTAAACCAGGAATTAGAAAAGAGGACTTGTTGGGTGGCAAGGTTGATGTAGCACAATGGTTTGGGTATTTGGAGTTGGAGCTGGTAATATTAAGCTTGGAATTTCTCTTAAGAAACTGACGGAGTTGAATAAAATCTAACAGATGACCTTCTAGTCAAGTTCTGTACTTGGAAATGGATGCACAAATCCCAAATCAATTAAATACAACTCTGACTTTGTGATGTAGTAACTACTTGGAAGTACTTGGGAAGAAGCATTTAATTCATAAAAGGAACATTATGCTTAGTGATCATAAACTTAGCGGGTAATAACTGTAAATTTAACAGAAATTCATAATTTCAATACCTAATGATAATACGACCTTCTAACAAGGACACACATAACACAATCTTCAAATAAAAATAGGCAGGAATATAACCAACAACAAGGATCCACCTTTTCAGAGAAAGGGTATCCACCATATAGCCAATGAATGATTGATAATAACCAAGCAGTTGAAAAATCTAATTGTGCCTGTTTTGTTCATACTTCATTTAGGAGTAATTATTTCTCCTTATCACTATCATTATCATTGATTCTTCTATCCTGTTTTGACTGTTCTTGTTGCTGCCAGGTATATGGATGGGGAATGTTTGACAACTGAAGACCAGAAAGCTGTAGTGGAGAAGCTTCTTGCTTATCATCCTCACTCTGAAGATAAAATTGGATGTGGGTTGGACTCAATTATGGTATGTTTAGTCTGCAATATCTTTTACCTTCATATCAAGCTGCTGAAAGAAATTCTAGGTGAATATATATACTGCATAATAGAATTGAGCATATAGATAGATGATATGAAGCTAAAGAAATAAGTATCAAATTTCTTGCTTTCTTTCATATGAAGACTTTGCACCATTCCCATTACAAGAATATCTTATGGCAAAAAATTACCAACCTGCCTCTCTGTGTGAGATTCTGTCCTTATTCTTCTTACCCTCAACATTAATTGGTCCACGTGGTGCAAATTTATTTGTCCGAAATGGTATTCCCAGTGTATTAATCTCCAAATCTAATTTTGTGTTGTTAAGGAGCAATTGAGCCATTTGCTCTGTATTGTTTCACCATGCCCGGATTAGGATCATGCAATGTTGCGATAACTTATGCAAATGCATATGAAATTTTTTAGTTGAGAAGCATGCACTGCTGAGTTGACGGTATTAATTCATTTTTGTGGAATATGGAATAAGAAAGTCAAGTGTTTTCTATTAATATAAGCTTGAGCTTTTGGGATAACTAATGAACAGACCGGCTTATTGAATCCAGTGTAGGAGCAAGGTCATGAATTTCAATTTCTGAACCGCATTCCAGTTATCACTCACCAGTTTCTTGTCTGCAATTGGTGCATCAATCTATGTTTGCCTTGTCCCATTTGAATTTGTGTTTATGTGCTAAAGCTTAGTATCCCATGTACGTATGAAGAAGTCTGACAATATAAAACAGCAAAGTAGTGGTTTAGTCTATATTTGCTAAGACTGGAACAAGGAGACTTGTAGTTGTCTATCTATGGCAATCAATGCACGCATTGGAGGGATACTACTTTCTGCCTAATTGCATGGCTGCAAACTAAAAGGGTTGCAGACCAGTGATTAAGTGAAAAGCCCTGAAATGCAGGGAATGAAGATCAAGTTATATAATCTATTTTTGTATTGTTCAGCTAATATTTTTTACTAAATATAAATAATTTTAAAAGTATAAATTGCTGAGATGGTTTTACAGGCAAAAAAATATCCTATTGATTCTTATGTTCTCCTTTTTAGAGAAAAAGAAAAATAGATGCGTTAGAGGGTACCAAGGAGGTGCCAACAGCATACAACACTACAAGGGGGAAACAAAGCTCAAGAGAAACGCCCTCAAAAGCTCTCCTAGTTTTATTTCCTAGTAGTCCATAAATGTTATGAGAAATAAATGCAATAACCTTCTGTCTTTTGGCTGTGCAAACCCTCCCACACAAACAACTTATCTTGAATGGATCCTCTTATTGCCCTCTTGATACCCAAGGGACTAATAACTGCCTTCTTGCCTTAGAACACCAAAAAAGAGATGGTTAGGGGATTCTTTTTCCTGGATACACCACAGGCATTGGTTATTGATGATGCAGTCCCCTTTCCTGAAATTGTCATTGCGAAACAGCATGGCCAGGCAACTTCCCATGCAAGAAAAAGAAGCTGTATGGGGGGTTCCTAGTTAAGCTGTCCTAGTTAAGCTGTCTAAGTAACGTGATTCATAGAGAACTTGCCATTCTTGGACGGAAGCCACACAGCCGCATCCTAAAAATTTTGATTCACTGAGCGAAAATCCAGAGCAGCAAGAAGATTCACATCCTCTGCAATCTTAACATTAATTCAAAAAAGTTATTCAAGATTGAAAGTTCCTCCCCTAGCCTTCCTAAATTTGGTTAGGCTGGGGATGGCGGGGCAGATATAACTCCAGGAGCATCTTCTTGTTGCTGAGGTCCTCAAGTCCTAAAGATGAATTTTTTTCCTGCATGTTAGATGCAGTTTCATCTTTGTACTTGTAGCAATGGGCAATCTGTAACTGTGGTGTGCTTTATTCATTTTCTTAATTAAAGGAATAACTTTATTAAGAGAAAGAAAAATTATAAAAGAAAAGGAGAGGATAACATATCTCCCAGCTAAGTCTTATATTTGTTGTTTTTGTGGTTTGATGAGTTTTTTTTTTTACAGCACTTCTGTTGTGAAGGCAAAAGATTAGTGTTATGAGCCAAATACGTGGTTTCTACTTTAACTCTACTCCTCTTTGTTGGTTTCACTCAAGAATCTTTCTAACAATTCCTAGGATTATTGTGCATTGTTTATTTTTCTGGTTATCAATATCAAGCAAACCATGTCTGCATCTCAATGAATAGCCTCTCCCATAAGTCTTTTGGGGGTTATATGGGAGAGGCTACTCTAGCTAGAAAGAGTCTTACTCCGAAGCATTGATGGGACTCATTCCACACTCTCCTTCAGTCTAGATTCTACAATTTAATCTATCTATTCTAACTACCATACTAAAAAGACTTCAAACATCTTAAGAATCCACCTGGAGGTGAATAATTGTGAGGGACCCTTGAGTAACCCCTGTACTCTCTCTTCTTTATGAGAGGGGGACAGTTCATTCATTAAAATGTCATGAGCCTGACAACTGTCTGGCAAATTGCTGATAGGAGCCCAGAACAACACAAGAAGGATTGCACGTAAGTTTCTATTTTTGGGATAGAAAAAACCACACTTTTCTTTTATTTCTTCCTTCCTATTCCCTTCATAATCTGATGAGGTTTAAATAGAAATGAAACAATAACTTCTCCCTGCTATCCAGGGAGCATGACACCAGTAACAACCAAGAAAATCTCACAAAAGGATAAGATCAATGTTGGAATTAAATAATTAAAAAAAAACGGGGAAATTGATGTTGAATAGTTTGACCGAATCTTGTGGGAGTTCGGCTTGCTTCCACAATACCGGAATCAGAGATATTTGGGATTCTTGACCGGGATCCTTGTTGATCTTCTTCTTGTATCATTGCGTCCCTCTTTTGCAAGAATCTTGTCCTCAAGGTTCAAGGAGCCAAATTTATCTGTTAGTTCTCTGCTATTTTCCCATGTAGCTTCTTCTGGAGGCAAATTCTTCCATTGGACCAGGCTCTCTTCAACAATTTTTGCTCCCTTCTTGATCCATCGGGTTTCCAAAATGGTTTGGGGTTGGAGCATTAGGTCCCCATCTTTAGATATTTCAAGCAGATGTTCGGTCGGGGTAACCGCTTCACCAATCTGTTTTCTTAACATGGAGATATAAAAAACGGGATGGATACGCGACCCTTGCAGCAGCAGAAGCTTGTAAGCAACTAGTCCAATTCGACGGAGGATCTGATAAGGTCCGTAGTATCGACAAGCGAGTTTATGTAAGGCTCTCCTGAAAACCGTTTGCTACTGATATGGTCGAAGCCTGAGAAAGACCCAATCGCCCTCCTGAAATTCGACTTCTTGTCGATGGGCATTGGTGGTCGCTTGCATGTGTCTGTTGGCTACTTGTAAATTGGTTCGAAGTTGTTTAAGGAGGGCATCTCGATTACAAAGTTGTTGGTCAACTTCATTGATAAGGGTTGAGCCGTCTTGGTAACGAGGAATGGGTGGCGGTGGCCTCCCATATAGGGTCTGAAAGGGCGTCATCTTGATAGAGGAGTGATAGGTTGTGTTGTACTAAAATTCGGCCCAAGGAAGGAAGGGACTCCACTTGCGTGGTTGTTGGTGGCCTAAGCACCGTAGATATTGTTCCAAACTGCAGTTCACGACCTCTGACTGTCAATCTGTTTGCGGGTGGTAAGAGGAGCTCATCCGGAGCTGGGTGCCTGACAACTTAAAAAACTCTTACCAAAAGCGGCTAATAAAGACCAGATCTCTGTCACTAATTATGGAGCGAGGCATACCATGTAGTTTAACTACATTGCCCACAAATTTTTCTGCCACGGTCTTAGCGGTGTAGGGATGAGCCAAAACAATGAAGTGCGCACTCTTACTGAGACGATCAACCACAACTAAGATAATATTCTTTTTGTTTGAGAGAGGCAGTCTTTCAATGAAATCCATGGAAATATCATCCCATATATGGCACGGGATTGGCAATAGTTGGAGGAGGCCAGCTGGTGCAAGTGTCTCGGTCTTGACACATTGGCAGGTGTCACATGCCGCTACATATTCTTTAATATCTCGGTGCATGGAAGGCCAATAAAATTGTTGGGCCAATCTTTTATAAGTTCGTTGAAAACCTGAGTGGTCACCAGCCAAAGATGAGTGGAATTCCTGCAGTAATTGTTGTTTGATTTCTAATTTAGGAGGGACAACAATTCGATTCTTAAAATAAATCAACCCGTTCTTGAGTTAAAGGAACCACCTGCTAAGTCAGCGGCTAACTTGCGGGCTGTTTGCATGTAGGGATGATCCGCAGCTCCCCGGATGGTGTCCCGTAATTTATTTTTGGGCATAAAGATAGCATGTAATGTGGGGCTATCTTCCTTACAAGATAGAGCATCAGCGGCAAAGTTGTCTTTTCCGGGCCTATATACGATCTCATATTCGTAGCCAAATAACTTAGAGAGTCATTTTTGTTGTTCCGGGGTTGTGATTCGTTGGTTCAGCAGATGCTTCAAACTTTTCTGATCCGTGTGCACATAGAATTTTCTGCCCATCAAATACCGACTCCATAATTTTATGGCAATAACAATGGCAAGCATCTCTTTGGCGTTGACCATGACTGCTTGGCAACCCCTAATGCCCGACTCATGTAAGCTATAGGTTGCCTGTGCTGGGTGAGGACGACCCTGATGCCGCAACCAGAAACATCAGTTTCTATGATAAATGGCTCTTCAAAGTTCGAGAGTTCCAAGGTAAGAGTGGTGGTCATGGCAACTTTGAGGTTTTGGAAAGCTGATTTTGCTTCTTCGAACCACCCAAACTGCCCCTTTTTTAGGAGATTAGTCGGAGGTCGAGCAAGGATTCCATACTGCCGAACAAACTTCCGGTAATAGCCATCAAACCCAAAAATCCCCTTAATTCCGTGACGTTGTTTGGTCGAGGCCAATCTAAGATGGCGTTAATTTTGGTTTGATCCACTTTGACCCCCTGTTAGGTGACTATGTGCCCCAAGTACTCAAGTTCTTTTTGTCCAAAGACATTTTTTTAGTTTAATGAAAAATTGATGTTGCCGGAGGTGTCAAAAACCTGCTTAACCTGCTTAAGATGCAGTTCCCAGTTGGGACTGTAGATTAAAATGTCATTAAAAAAAGTGAAAGAAACTTACGAAAGTGCTGGCGGAAGATGTTGTTCATGATGGCTTGGAAGGTGGAAGGGGCATTGCAGAGCCCAAATGGCATGACGAGATATTCATAATGACCGTTATGGGTGCGGAAGGCCGTCTTGTGAATATCTATTGGGTGTACCCTAATCTGGTGATAACCTGCAGTGAGGTCGAGTTTAGTAAAGAAAGCAGCTCCATGGAGTTCATCCAACATGTTATCAACCGTAGGAATGGGAAACCTATCTTTGATGGTGACTAAATTGAGGGCCCTGTAGTCGGTACAAAACCTCTAAGTCCCATCTTTCTTGCGTACTAATAGCACCGGTGAAGAGAACGGACTGGTGCTTGGCCGGATCAGCAATGAATCAAGCATTGTATTCACTTGTTTCTCAATTTCACTTTTCTGGAAATAAGCATACCGGTATGGCCTAACATTTACAGGTTCAACCCCTTCTTTCAAATTGATGTGGTGATCAACGTCTCGGCAGGGAGGAATGGACTGCGGGTCCTTGAAGAGATCCTGGTACTGATCCAAGAGGGCCTGCGTGGGAGAGGGAAAACCCTCTGCCTGCAGATGTACTACGAACAGGGAGGATTGCCGAAACGTGCCCTTGATGATTTCTTTTGCTGAAACAATCTGGAGTGGTGGAGCGTCAAGGCCTCGCAACGGTCGTGATCGACCACCCCACTATAATTCCATGGTCATCCGACCCCAATCACACATAACCGTCCCTAATGCTTCCAGCCGCTGAATTCCAAGAACAAAATCGAGACCAGTTAACGGCAACGCAAAAAGGGTCAAATGGAAGAGTATACCTCGGATGTTAACCGGCACATTATCAAATTGTCTGTGACACCTCATCGAGCTAC